GTTTTTTTCAGCCTTTTGGAGTTTTGGCCTCCCAAAAGGAACACTTCTTTGTTTCCCAAAAATGAACAAGTAAAGAGTCCACCATTGTTACAAGTTTTGGCCGTCGGCAAGGCTTTCTTTAACTGCACTGTTTATTAACAAATTTATGTTCTATTTTGTACAACTAATATTACAAATTTACTACTTTACCGTACCCTTGTCAGTATCGATGAAGTCATCGACATCATCTGTCAACACTTTTCCGCTTGTGGAACTTTTCATACCACCTCCATAAACAACCACAAAAAAGGTAAGTACAATGGTTTTTGCAAACTTTCCTGCTGCTGACTGTTTGAGTCCCTCAGCTGCGCAAACAAGCACAATTTAAAGAAGCTGCATCTAACAAACACTCACAGGAAGCGCTATTCAAGTTCCTTATGCTCCCGGTGCTCAGCTCACGTCCATAATGCCAATATCGCAATCCCTAAAAAAATACTAAGGTTCCTTTATTAGGTTCCATGACAGGGATCTTTAAAAGTGCAATAATTATTTCTAACGAAGTAAAACAACAAATTAATTCGCATTCAGAATCGCTGTCGTATACAGTCCGAAATCAGCACTGCTGATGCCGTACTTTATCACGGACCAGACTTCACAGGCAATTTTGGAAGGATTCGAGACGATCAGATTGCTGTCATATGGTACTTAGAATCTCCAATAAATTACAGTCCAAATAAAGAGCTTATTAGTACGCCCTAATTAATTACTAAGTAAACAAAACAAAACTTTTTTGTGAATCATGAGCAAAAAATAGTTGTCTAATGGCATTACAATATTAAACTGAACTATTCCAGGTAGAGTAAATTGGACTATGACATACCGACAAGATGCTGATATCCCACTGCCATACGGAATATTCAAAAAGTTAGAAAGACCACTCGAAATTAACTATGATGAAATTTGGGTTGCCAAACGAAAATCAACAGTTTGGCTTGTCTCTAACTGCGTTCAACCCACTGGACGTATGGAACTCGCAAATGCTATGAAAGCTGCGGGTCTTGAGGTTAGAAGATCGTAAGTCATATTTTACAAGCAAAAACCCCGAACAAGACGATTGCAAATTACAGATTGACATCTTCGGACGCTGTGGTCAAAAAACACCAAACAACTGCGATGGAACAAACAAACAGAGCGACAACTGTGTAGCTGAACTGTTTAAGTTCGTTGCATTATAAACCGTCTGCACCACATACGTAAATACGTTATCCGCACTTCAAAGCGTATACTTCTTGCGTCTGACATTTCCGCCCTTTTAAAACTGCCAATTTCTATCTTTATCGAAACACTCGAAAAAGACAACCCGTAGCAGAATACTAATGTAGAGTTTCCCTGCGATAACGAGGCAATATAATGTGATCTCCTCAGTTTCGCATATTCAGAGCCAAACTTTCACACTCAGTAGAACACAAACGAAGCTTGAAGAGTCGACCAAGAAAACCGCGCAATTTGACGGTCAAGAGCATAACTGTTACCAGAGATCTAACAGCAACTTTAATTTGATTTAGAACAACAATCAAGTTATCTTTTTGATACAGACAGGCTAGGTTAATTTTTAGGTTTGCACATCAAGCTCCTAGAACACACCCCGTAGGTGAAGAAGCCTTAGTCTCCGTATATTATGTTCCAAGGGAGTAAGCGGTCTGATACATTCTTTATATTTTTCAAGCGTTTCCTCCTTTGGACGAAAGATTTCAATAGTT